CTTGATGGTGACACGAGAAAGATTTCTATTAAATATTATTTATTTGTTAAGGTCTGTATCCAAGCGCCCGAAATTGCGCAATTTCGACACTCGATTTCTATATGAAATTGTAGCTGTTTACAAGACCATCTCAATTTTAATCTTATTTCGATGACAGTTTGTTTATTGGTTTGTAGAGGCTTTCCTTTACAGCTGATTTTGTTTCATATTATTATGCAGCGTTTTTGCTGCATTTAAAATTCAACATTTAGCACTTTCAAGCATATGTTTTCGAAGAGTATTCATGCTATCGCATTTAGCAATGTACATTTAGGCGAGTTCAAAATCGTATGTTTTTGACAAACAACCGTGTTCCAATCGCTTACTCGGATCCGTATCTATTTCGATCAATTCACACGCAGAAGATAATGTGCAAAAACCCTACTGAAATGGAAAAAATAAATTTTAAACCAAAAATTCTATACAAAAACATGAATTGTTTTAACCATAACCGAACATTTGTTTGTGTATATATTCATTTGTCGGTGCTGNCGAATCGTGGAAATTTTGGAAGATCACAGGGTTGCTTTTAGCATTCAGATTCTTAATGCAAAAATTGAGTTGCATTTAGGTGAAGAATTTTGTATGGATAACTGTACATTAAGGGTAGCATTTAGAGTTAAATACGCTAAATGTGCTTTTACGCGTACTGGGTCGTCGGAATGGGCGGACCGAATTTAATGTTTATCACATGAACACGTTGCTAGTCATTTACCTTGTTTATATGGCATCAAACTCGGTATCGAATTAACTCGTGCCAGTGTAGCTCGCTTGAAATGAAAGTGTTTATATGCAGCAAAAAAAATTAGTCTATCGAACACGCTTCCAAACAGAGTTCATCCCGATGCGACCCTGTTAATACATGTGTCATTTCTTGAAAATAATAAACATGGAAAAAATAATAATTAAAGTTCCAAACAGCCATGAAAAAGGATATTAGCTATTATTTTTTTAGGAAAGCTTAGTCTAAATGTAATTTCAAGAACTATTTAAATGTTTTATTTTGGAACGAATTTCCGTCATCCCTTGTCAAGTTTGGTTTATTTATTTAAATGTTTTACTTCATACAGAGTTGCATGAAACAACCGTGTGCTCAAATCCCGTGTTAATATGCACTCTTAACACGATTCAACAACTCTTAACTCGCATTCAAAATGTGATTTATAGTAGCACGGTTAAAAGTTTCAATTCGATTTAAGAATGTGTTTACATGTGTGTCTCCAAATAACACGGTTTGACTTAGAACGAATTGAAGCATCATATAAACATGGTAATTGTTGGGTTCAACAGTACCCAGCAGTTTCGTAGCACTTGAGCTAACCCAACAAACAATTGGGTTTGAGCTAAACTTGAGGTCAAGTTGAGAACTAAGATATTTCTCAAATCTCCAACGTTGTTTCTAAACAGTACCTTAAGTGGAGGAAAATGGCGTCTTCAACAAAAGGAGCATCGTCGATGTTTTTGCAAAACCGCCCATCGACGACTTGCAAAACCACCTAAATCGCCGTTGTGGCAAAAATGAGATTTGGTGACCCTGAGCCCCAGGTGTCTAGATTTATGCTTAAAATTCATTAAATCGTTATTAAAACAACAGATTTGTAAAATAATAGCTATAGAAAATACCGCCTATCAAAACAATGCCTTCAAAGAATAAACCGTTTTTCGCTCTCCTGTAAAATTCGAGTGCAGTAGGATAGGCGGTTTTGCAATTGGGCGATGGGCGATGGGTGGTTTTGCAAAAACATCGACGGCCTTTTTCTTTATATGAAAAAAGGACTGTTTCTCAAGTTGAGAAAATGCTAGTTCTCAACTTGAACTCCAATGTAATTCTCCAATTGGTCTAAAACATATCATTGAAATACAGAAATTGAAATAGTAAAATACCTTATACCTTTTTGATTGAAACGACATACATAGATGAATTTAAATATTAATTTTTCATTTTATTACTCCTTTTGTATTATGTAGTTAATCAATATCGTATTACAATAATTCACTACAAAGTATACAGTCCGACAGTAATTTTGTCACTTGATTCACTTCGCGCTTTGTTATCTTTCAAGATTATTTGAGGATACTTTGAAGACTATTTACTTTTTGTTGGTAATTTTCCTCTTTATATAGCTTTCGTTTTTCATTTTCTAATTAAAATATCGCGATACTTGCATCAAGTCAATAAATACTGACCATGTGACAGGGCCCAACGGGCCTCTATTTCGCTTGCAAGAGAAAAAGCGGCCGCTCAGCGTTGAATTCTAAATAGTATCGGTGCAACTATCTCTATTTGTTGCAATTTCATTTGTTTACATTTATCAGCTGTTCATTTGGCAGCATATTCATCAAGCCGTTTCTAAGTCGTAATTGTTGGGTTCAACAGTTGCCAGCAGTTTCGTAGCAGATGAGCTAAACAACTATATCTTATGAACGCAACCAATGTGTGTATGAGTTTGAGTTTTGAATATTTAAATTGTATTGCTGGCAAACGTCAGACTGCCTCTCAATGATTTTACCTTGTTATGTTGAAGTCACTTAAATGAATAATAAATATTTATTCGTTATTTGAAATTACTTGAATGATGAGTAAAAATTAGGTGCGGTTGTAAGCGGGTGTCGTCTTGGAGCAATCGGCTCGCTATATAAACGTGTATTTGGTTGTGTTTTGCTAGGAAAATAGCAATACATACACAGTTTTTCATTAACACATTCACAGTTCGCTCACTGTCTTTGATTTTTCGAAGACAGTGATTTAGACAGTAAATTGGACAATTCGGTCCCGTCTTGGTTAATTTGAGTAACAGTAAAAAAAGTAATATTCTGGCTGCAGCTTTATGTCATGGTGCAAGTTTTGGCAGATGCAGACCCCGAACTATGGCGATCCCATTCATTCTTCGTTTTTCCCTTTGAAGCTGGTAACTCTATTCATTTCATGCTGTTTCGTTGGTAGCCATATTGTAAAGTAGACGAACGGATGTTCATTCGGATTTTTAACTTCGAGTGGTTAGCTTGTGCTTTTTCGCTTACGTAATTAAAGGGATAATTGTTAAAATTTTGAAATAAATTTATATATATAAATGGTTAAAATGCCTAATCAAAAAGACAACTCCAACCACAATGGAAATTATAATGACGTAAGTAGATTTGCTTGGGTGGGTAGTAGTAATTTCTAGAAGTTGTGCCAGGTCCGCCATTTTGTTTGCAATGTGTATGTATCTGTGAAAGATAAAATCGATTTCCATTCAAATAAGTGCATATATATTTTTTTTTATTTATTTATAGGAGGATATCAATGAGCCCGAATGCTTGCGAAAATTGTTTATTGGTGGATTAGATTACCGTACCACTGATGATGGTCTTAAATCGCATTTTGAAAAATGGGGTAAGATAGTTGATGTGGTGGTTATGAAGGATCCTAGGACCAAGCGATCACGTGGTTTTGGATTCATCACCTATTCGAGGTCAACCATGGTTGATGATGCCCAAAATGCTCGTCCACATAAAATTGATGGCCGCGTTGTGGAACCTAAACGTGCAGTGCCACGTCAAGATATTGATAACCCGCATGCCGGTGCTACGGTTAAGAAACTATTTGTGGGTGGACTTAAAGACGACCACGATGAACAATGTCTACGCGATCATTTCGGACAATATGGCCAAATAACAGATGTGAACATTGTAATTGATAAAGAGACTGGCAAAAAGCGTGGCTTTGCTTTTATTGAGTACGATGACTACGACCCAGTTGATAAAATTGTTTGTAAGTAGATATAGTCGATTTTATGGACTCTTGACTATATATGTACATACTTATTAATTTGACGGGTAGTACAGTCCCAGCTCCGCATATGTATTTTTAGTAACATTGTGCGGCGTTTCATGACTGTTAGACTGAATCTAGGCATATATTATATAGAAGTNAGATTTTATGGACTCCGACTATATATGTACATACTTATTAATTTGACGGGTAGTACAGTCCCAGCTCCGCATATGTATTTTTAGTAACATTGTGCGGCGTTTCATGACTGTTAGACTGAATCTAGGCATATATTATATAGAAGTTGATTTGTTTTTCATTTAATAATGAATCGATGAAAATGTGTATGCCACAATAATTTAATAGGAACAGTTAAGGTTTACTTTATTTAAATATATCTGTTATCCAAAGGCATAACCGCTAAGAGGCAAGGTTGGCTTTAGTATAACGCAACATTCCGTTTATTATTATTATAAGTGGCCCTAGGCTCACTACTCAACTTTGAAGTTGCGTCTGAGAAAACTCAACTATTTATTGTTACTGGCAATCACAACTGTTCTCAATAGGAAATTATTTTTTTACCTATTAGGCTAGTGATACCCGAAAACCAAGGCGAATTTATATAAGGTGATAGCAGGAGTACAATAACAAAAANCCGCTAAGAGGCAAGCTTGGCTTTAGTATAACGCAACATTCCGTTTATTATTATTAGAAGTGGCCATAGGCTCACTACTCAACTTTGAAGTTGCGTTTGAGAAAACTCAACTATTTATTGTTACTGGCAATCACAACTGTTCTCAATAGGAAATTATTTTTTTACCTATTAGGCTACTGATACCCGAAAACTATGTCCCGTAGCATGAACCAATTGGATTGGAGTGTGGTTGGATCATGGGCCCGTAGTTATAATCAAATTAAAGTCAGCTCTAAAGTTAAAAGCAGCTTGTTTGACAAGTACATATCCCATTGAAAGGCACTTTAATAAGCCGCTTTAACTTTAGAGAAGATTATTTTGTCTATAATTACATTTTTAAGTGGTGTCCCAAAATACCAATTTACAACTTATCATTCAACTACCTTAATAATTGTGAATCATAAGGAATTCATTTGGCATATTAAGAGAGTTTATGGAAGTAGGTTTTATTTCTTTCACGCTTACAGTATATTTTGCTTAGCTGCCCATTGTTCTTTGCACGAAAAACTTGTGCGCTTAACCGAAAAAACACTTAAACGAATTTTCTTTACAACTTCAACGAGGAAGGTATCCAAATCCCTATGAAACCAAACAATGGAGGAGCACTTACCACGTAGAAATTACTGCAAGTGAAATTTGTAGTAATTATGTTTGGCTCCGAAGAATTAACGGCACTCCAAAATTGAAGTAGATTTTTTTGTTTAAAATATACTTGTTTTTATTTGAATTTAATATGAAAACTTACTGACGTATTTAATCGGGGTTATCACTTGTTCTTATATAATATACAGGATTATTTTCATGAATTTGTTGCTTTACTTTTTTAAGAAAATATAGTTCATTCAATAATATAAACTTTATGAATCAAAGTTTCACATTTTATGTAGAGTTCACAAAAATTAAAAAAAAAAAATTAAAAATTTTCAACTTTTATTCTTATATTCTTTTTATAATATTTGAAATTCAAATTAGAAAAATATATTTCCTACATGGAAAATATTTTCTGTATTATATAAAAATATATGTTTTAATACTACCAGACCCGGCGAACTTCGTCCCGGCCAAAATTACTTTTTTGCATTGAAAAATTTTGGTTCAACATTTTCAGCAAGAGTTCACGTTAATGATTTTCAGTGACGCATTTATCTTCTAATATTACGGTTTGGTAATTGTCAGAAGGTATATTTTTATTGCCGTCTTGTATAACCTAGCAAAAGTGTTTGTGCATACAAAGATGTGTAATAGTTTCAGTGCGTTCAAAAAAAGCCACGCCCCTTTCAAATAGCACAAATTTTCTGTAAGAGTATGGGATTGATTTAATGCATCTTGTACATATCAAGTTCCAGTACTCTACCATGAACACTTCCGGAGATATGCAATATGAAAAGTTCTTTGTATGGGAGGTGCCACGCCCCCTTTTCCAATAACCAAAATTTTTCTCCATGTTCGAGTAGTATACCATGAACACATCCAGAGGTATGAAAAATTCGGTTTGTGCCACGGGAGGTGTGGTTTACATCCGATTCTCATACCTACCATATATATGTACATAAAAAATTTCAAAGTTCTGTAGAGTCGTTTAGGAGGAGCTCGACCACCAACACCGTGACACAAGATTTATATATATATATACGATTACATGTTAGGTTTTTATTTTATGGGATTCCAATTTCAAAATTGAACAAAAACGGAATTTCTACCAAAATTTTCTACTGCTTAAATAAATACCTTTTTGAAAGCTGAATATTTCAGTTAACAAGCCTACCCAAACTTCCAAAACGTCAATTGCTTTGCATACGTAAAAAGTATAATGTCTTATAACGCCGAACTACAAAATGATGACAATGATTACTTTTCCGAAACGCATTCAAAAAGTTATCGAAACGCATCGCTAGATCAATCAGTGTACCAGAAACAAAGTTGATGCTTCGTTTGTTATTGGTTACCATTTGTGTTTAAAAAATGGAAAATTCAGAAAAATTGTTCATTGCTTTATGGAATATTCAAAATGTGCATGTATTTGGTTGCAATGTGTCGCAACTCTGCATATACAAACAGTTTGAATACCGCAGTATAACAGTTTGCAAACATTTAGGGGATTCACAAGACGTGTTAACCGTCGTAAAATCTTAAGGTTAACATCTTTTTTAATTAAAATGGTTTTAGGGGATTTCTAACTAAACCGAAATTCTGTTAAACTGATAAAGAATATATAATTAGCCAGCCCCCCAACCATTTTAACCGCTATTTTACATAAACAAGTGTTAAGCTTAAGATTTTACGACGGTTAACACGTCTTGTGAATCCCCTAATTGTATTGATACGTTTTGGAAGTCAGCCATATATTTCACATAGTTATTTTCAAAAAAGTATTTAAATTGTTTATGAATAGTTTTTGAAACAGAAAAACAACGTATTATTTATTGTCGGCCTCTGTGGTGTAGTGGTAAGCAGTGCGCGCTTTCACACATCAGCACCTGGGTTCAAGCCCTGGTCAAAGCAACATCCCAAAAATATAGAAAAAGGTTTTTTCTTAACAGCGGTCGTCCCTCGGCAGGCAATGGCAAACCTCCAACTGTATTTCTGCCACGAAAAACCGCTTCTCATAAAAATATAATCGCCGTTCGGAGTCGGCGTAAAACTGTAGGTCCCTCCGCTTTGTGCGACAACATCAAGGCGCACGCCACAAGTCGGAGGAGAAGCTCGGCCAAACACTAACATATGTGTAAGCGCCAATATATTATTATATTATTATTATTATTTATTAACTTGATAGTTTTTGAAACAAAATACAAGGTGCTATTTATTAACTTATATGCATTTAAAAAAAAAACAAGGTAGGCTGTGTTACCTGAAATAGTCATTTTAAAAGAGGTATTTAAACAGTAAAAAATTTTGTAGAAATTCAGTTTTTGGTCAACTTTGAAATTGGATTCTCATGAAATAAAAAAATGAAATAAAACTAACTGTAATATAAATATATTTTTATAAAATAAAAAAAAATATTTTCCATGTAGGAAAATTTCTAATTGGAGCCCAACGAAAAGGGATTTATTTATTTATTTTTTACAGTCTGTTAGACTTACATTGCAACAAAG